AAAAAAAGAAAACATGAAGTATTAGAAAACATGAAGCCAGCATTAAAATACTGGGTGACTTTATGGAAAGATTTTGAGGCTTGTTGTACAGGAGACTTAGACCCTGGGACCTAAAGATATCTAGGGCCACAAAATCAGGAAATGGGTAGAGACATAGTTGGTGGTATGAAACAGATTTTGGAGAACTCTTAGATCATGTCCTTGGGCAATGACCACAATCTGATGCTTAGAATAGATCATCTATAGACAATTATGCTGTTCTTTTTCTTTCTGTTGTATGATCTGGTGATGTAACCCCTTGCCAAGTTCCCTGATTGTAGTAGTATATAAGCACTGCTTGAGATGAAGTAAAGTTGCAGCAGCTTATTCAACTACATTGAGTGTGTCTGTCTGTCATTTCCTCGCCGATTCCTGATTTCTCCTTGAGCCTTCTCCCTTGTTCTCCCTCGGTTGGTGGTCTCCACGAGAGGTGGTCCGTGGCAGCCACTAAGATTCCCAGTCTTCACCACCTAACAGTTGCTGCATAACAATGTGGTTTTATGTTTATTTGGGATAAACTTTTGGAGCTGCAAATTACTGTGTTCAACCATATTTAGGGAGCTTTGAGTTACTGTTTCTTCAGTTCATTAGCAGAGCTGTTCAACTTTGAGGCATCATAATAATGTGACATCATCTCCAAAGTGTTGTGTTGTGTATCTCACCAAACTGGGATGCAGGCAATCCCTAGACCATGGGCTGGCTTGGCCTAGTTTAGTGCTTATTCATTTAGTTATTTTGTGTTTTGTCTTACTACATATTTTCTGAATCATTCTGTTTGTGAAAGTTTTCTTTCTTTACTATTTTCTCTCTTTGTTTCTTTTTTGTGTGTGTGTGGTTTGGGGTTTTTTGTGTTTTGTTTTTTGGTTTTTGGGACAGGGTTTCTCTGTGGCTTTCGAGGCTGTCCTGTAACTAGCTCTTGTAGATCAGGCTGGTCTCAAACTCACTGAGCTCTGCCTGCCTCTTTCTCTTGTTTCTGATGGGATAATTTCTACTAATCAATAGTTAAACTGATTTATCCCCTACTTTCTCAAATCAGCTACTATTCTCATTTGGTTTGGTTTACATTTTTTATTTTATGTGAATGGGATTTGCCTGTATGTGTGTAAGTGCACCATGTACCTTCATTGCCCACAGATGCTCAAAGAGGACATTGCCCCTTAAAGAAGACAAAAATAGGAAAGAACTTGCAGTCCCTTTTATTTAATCTTTGTTCAGCCATTGACCAAGAACATCCTAGAAGAATTGCCTTTGCTCAATGTTGCAACATATTATCTTAGTGCTGCACCAGGAGGTCTGCATTCCATAGTGATAGCAAGCTCTTCCCCGGAATAGACCTGAGAAGTCCTCTCCATATTTGAAATTAATAGAAAGAAAAAGAGACAAAGTGAACTAGCAGAGAGAGTGCTGACATCAGAAAATTTGAATCCAAAAACATCTGGCATACAGTTGCTTTTAAAATTGAGATGTCATCCAGCATTTGTTACTATCATTTTAAGTCTATAATGTGAGAATGATAATTATCTTTTGGTTACTCATTGAACAAATGAGTAAAATTATTATGAGAATTAAATGGTACAACACTTGGGAAGCACCTAATAAAGGGATTAGCAAATAAATGTTCCGAGAACATAAGAAAGTAACAAATCCCCTTAATTTTTGCTTGATGAGAGCTAAGAGACTCCACTCCTAGATTTGATAGGATATCTTAAATAATTCCCGTTCTTTTGCACATTTCATGCACAATAATGACACTATGGCATGAAAATGACTCCTTCACCTTGGAACGACTTCATTTTGCTTTTGCTGACTCCCAAGGTCCTTTGTATGACTGGTATGCAAAGCTATGAGGGAAAGTACATCTATCTTAACAAGTATACCATTTGGCAGCTAGTCAGCAGCTTGACATGATTATAATTTTGGGCATAGGAACAACTGCTTCTGTGGTTAAGCCATTCTCCCCAAATCCTTCTCAAACCAGCTCTATTCTCTGGCAGTATGCCATGTCTGAATCCACTCATACATTCAAGGATGAATTGCTCTCAGTGATTTATCGACACAGAGTGATCTTAGCTCACTACCATTTTTTTCATCTCATCTATAATTGACCCTTTCATTTTAAGCCATTAAACATATTGTTGCAATTATTCCCTATTTTCAGCAAATTACATGATAATAATTATCATTCTTAATAGCTAAAGTTGTAATAATGACAATGGTAATAGTAAATGTATAATAGATCCCAACTCACCTTGGTTGGGTATGCTGTTGTTTATGAAGTCATATCATTACAGTAATCTTGCTGTATAACCACTAAATATAGATTGGTGTTTTTTTGTTTTGTTTTGTTTTGTTTGTTGTTTTTGTTTTTGTTTTAGAAATAAGTATTTCTTTAGAAATTTGCATCATGGTGGCATTATTGAGTGAGAAAATATTAACATTTTCTTTCATATGTATATGTGTGTGGTGGGCTTGTGTCTATCTGTGTTCACAGGTGTCTGGGTGCTCATGTGCAAAAGTTCATGTATACATGTCCACATGTGGAGACCCAATATTGGCAATCACTTACTGAGGCAAGGTCTTCCAATTGAACTCTGAGTTTGTCTACAGAGCTAGGTGGTCTAGTCAGCTTGTTCTGGGGGTCATCTCTGACTGCATGCTGGATTTAAAGACATATAACCAACATTCATGTGGATTCTGGGTTATCTAATTTCCAATTCTCATACTTACATGGGTAGGCTTTAACAATTGAACCATCAATCCAGCTCACTAGTAGCTTTTTTAGATTTATTTATTTTATATTATGTGTATGATTGTTTTGCCTAAATGTGTGTCTCTGTAACATGTACATGCTTGGTGCCCACAGAGCCAAAAGAAGACAGCAGATTCCTTGGAATCAGTGAGGGACAACTGAAAGGTACCATGTGAGGAGTGAGAACTGAAGCCAGGTCCTAAGAAAGAGCAGCCAGTTGTCTTTACTGCTATGCCATCTCTCCAGCTCTATTATTATTAACATTTTAATTACTTGGTATTTATTTTAAAACTAGTATCTATGCCACAGACATGCGTTGATAGTAATTTAGCAACCACTAACTGCTACAAGAAAAAAAATCAGATATTAGTTTAGTTGAGAACCCTGTCAGTGAACAGATCACTTTGATAATAAAGATATTTTCTGCTCACTTCAGCAGTGTGTATAATAATATTGGAACAATATAGAAAAGAGTAACATGGTTCTTTTGCAGCAATGACATGGAAATCTATGAAGCATTCTGTATTTTAGATAGTGTCTCATAAAATTGTCAGAAGCTACACACATAAAGTCTCACCAGTATGACTGCCTAAACATGAGTTGAGCAAGGACAACAATACACATAAGTGCATGGGGGAGAGTCCATGAGGCCTCAACTTTACACACAGTACTGCAAACAATTAAGGAATTCTGAGAGCAGGAGAAATAGTCTTTTGAAGGGAAGAGCACACTGATTGGTTATCCGATACTAAATGGTCAGCCCTGAAAACATGCAGACAAGTAATATTGTGCACACTGAGCAGCAGTATTTCAAATATATATATGTATATACATATAGATGTGTGCATGTAACAGCAATTCATGAATAAAGAGGGAATGAATTTGAAAGAGAAAGGTACAGTATATGGGAGGGTTTAAAGAGAGGAAAGGGAAGGGGGAAATGACAATTATACACTCAAGAAATAAAAGAAATGATTTTTAAAAAATAAAAGACATGACTGGGCATTGGTGGCACACACCTTTAATCCCAGCACTCAGGAGGCAGGTGGATCTCTGTGAGTTCAAGACCAGCCTAGTTTACAAGAGCTAGTTCCAGGACAGTCTCCAAAGCCACAGAGAAACCCTGTCTCAAAAAACCAAAAATAAATAAATAAAAAATAAAAGACAGCACTAAATCTTTGTTCATGGGGGGGGCGGGAGGGGACCCTGCACAAATAAACACAATTAAACATAAAAAGATATGATATTTTTCTCATGGAAAAGAACACTTTCTTTTATATATATTGATTCCTATTTTACTATAGAGCCTCTCCTCTCCTGTCTACTGGACTCATGTTTATAGTTTTGTCACCAACACAAACATCTATCCCCAGAAAGTACCTTGATGACTCCAACTTATCCTCAATCTTGGCCATGAGTTAACTGTTTTGTGTTATTTTTTCATTGTCATACCTGTGGAGTTATCCCTAGATAATTTTATTAAATAACAGATAAAATACAGTGAGTAAAATATGATGAAATTGTATCGAAATAAATAGTAATGTAAATCTTTACACCATTTGTGGAGCACACTGTGTTTGACTGAGAAAAACAACAACATGCAAATGGCATGTTCATTCAGTCATCCCAAGAAGAGTGAGAACTTCCCTTATCTTTGCAAAGAGAGAGATCCTCCATCACTTCCTGAGCCCATGAGAATCACTGGGTATTATACAATGATGACTGACTGTCTACACAGCTTAAGTTACATGGGACCAGGAAAAATGTCAGGGAATGATCAAGCTTACAATCTTTGCTGAGTGGTTTCTGGGCTGTATCTAAGCTACTAATGAATACAAGTCAACATTAAGCCCTTTTACTTTCCTTCTGTATTTCATTTTATGCTAATAATGTAGTGTGGTTTCCTGAAATGCATGGTCTATCTGCCTGTGTGTATGAAGTCATTTCTATCTCAGAACTTGTCACATTCTAGTACTATTAATTTCCCCATTTCTAGGACCCTCTAACCCATTTTCTCTTATCTTATCTCCCCTAACTCAACGCTGAGGAAATATACTTTAAGTTTGGGGAAATATTCATCAGAAGCAGTTGGCATAAAGCTTTCTAATGAGTTTAAGTTCTTAGAATTAGAATTGATCCATTAGAAATGATCAATAACAGCAGTGTTCTTAACTTTAACTCTTGATTTAAACTTACAAAAACTATAGAGCTTTGGGGGATGTCAAAGGGCTAGGGGTTCTTTATTCCTCATTATTCTGGAAAGTTTTGAGTCAATTTTTCATTTAGTTTCCTCTCTGTTTTGCTAACCAGAGTCCCAAACTTGCCTATTTCTCATTGTCACCCCACATCTTTCAGACACTATAAATGTATGTGATCAACAGCACAACCATGCACTAGCCATTTGTCAAGTTAATAGTCCTTTTGCCTTGAAAAGAAATGGAAATATTTCTTGTTCATTCTCTGTCCTCTTCAAAGATCCCTCGAACAGTGCTTGTTTCTTTTCTCTTGCCATTGTTTCTCCAATGTGCTAGTCATTCCTTCAGACTTTTGTATTTTACAGTCTTACAATGGGAAATTGGAGCATGGCTGTTTAATTACATTTTAATGTTTCCACTTATCTCTAACTTCTACTTTCAACTATTATTTATCCCAGATGTTTTTAGGTCCATGTTAGCATATGGGCCATTTTATTAATGATGAATAAATATATAGTAAAGATTACAAAAACTAAAACATAATGCCAGAAAATCTAACCAGTTCCTCAGAATAAACTGCTATTGGGTTTTTTTTTTTGTGTTTGTGGGTTTGTTTTTCAAGACAGGGTTTCTCTGTGTAGCTTTGGAGCCTATCCTGGAACTCACTCTGGAGACCAGGCTGGCCTCGAACTCACAGAGATCCACCTGCCTCTGCCTCCCCAGTGCTGGGATTAAAGGCGTGTGCCACCAACACCCGGCCACTGCTATTGTTTTTTATGACTGACATTTCCAGACTAACTCAGGAGGTTTCCTAAGCAAATTTGGGAGTATCTCCTGGGATAATGGTTAAAACACCAAAGAAAAAAGCTTGTGGCAACTCAGAATGAGTCCACATTCATTCATGTTATTTTCTACAGATGTCAAGGTAGGAAGAGATAACTACTCTTAGGAACCAGAAACCATGGGTAAGGAAGAAAGTCAGGGTTGAAAGGCAAAGCCATTGTGCTCCAGCTACCATCTACTTCCTAATAGTAAGTAATAACATCCTAACTGCAAGAAAGGTATATCAAACAGAGCAGGAAGAGGACTTCAATCATTAATATGGCTGCACTGTCCAGAGCTATTTACTGTTAGTGCTGGTGATCCAGCATCTGTATGACTTTGATATTTAAAAAATGCAATAGTTACTTTGAAAGAAAAATTATTAATGTTGTCCTCTAGTGTTATGTACAAACTAGAGTTATAATGGGTATCTTGGTTAGGGTTTCAATTGCTGTGATGAGACATCATGACCATGGCAACTATTATAAAGGAAAACATTTAATTGGGGCTGGCTTACAGTTTCAGAGGTTTAGTATATTACCATCATGGTGATGGCATGCAGGCAGACAGGTTGCTGGAGAAGGGGCTTGATCCACAGCAATAGGAAGTGAACTGTCCATATTGGGTGCAGATTAAGCATATATGAGACCTCAAAGCCCACCCTAAAAGTGACACACTTCCTCCAACAAGACCACACCTCCTAACAGTGCCACTCCCTATAGGCCAAGCATTCAAGCACAAGACTGTGGGGACCATAGGTATTCAAACCACCACAGTGAGTGACTGAACTTCACTGGCTTAGTTTCAATATCAGGTAGAGGTAACTGGATTGAAATATCTGTGCATATGCACACACCCACACATAGGATACTTCAAAACCACCTGTAAAACATAGTACTGTATACTAAGCATAGCATCTTTTAGCTCTTCCTTTCTGCCCCATGTGTATGACATTTCTTCCTTGATGGGGAATGTACTGTGTATGTTTATCTTATTGATTATTGAATAAAATACTGTTTGGCCAATGGCAGCAAGTTAGACAGGACTAGGAGTCAAAGGGGATTCTGGGAAATGTAATAGAGATGTGTTGATCCAGGTCGGAAGTGACATAGCAAGGAGACTCATATTTAGCAAGGAGAAATAGGAAGGGTCCCTTTTTCCCCTCCAATCTTCCTCCAGCAGTGCAATGTGATCCACCGACAAGGAGGGATGCCAATAATGTGTTCGATAAGTCTTAAAAAATATACAGATTTAGGATAAATAAGACTGAGCTAACAGATGAGAATCCTAGTCTTTGGCCAAGCAGCATTTAAACCTAATACAAGTTTCTGTGTATTCATTTGGGCCCTAACTCGGACAGGTGGCTGGCGTAAAGCACACACGTGGCAGTAGGGTGGAAAGATTTATCATAACACTTCCTCTTCATACTCTTCCCAATAACTTGCACTCACACAGTGATGAGCTCAATGGAAATCCCTTTCATATGGAGTTTAATTTCTGCTCAAGGATAACAAATAAACATAGGTTGGAGAGAGGGGGGAGGTCAGCAAAATATTCAAATAATATTACTATTTTTAAAATTGTATAAAGAAAGGGAACAAAGATAAACAGATGCAGTGTTTAGGTAAGGCAATCAGTGAAAGTCCCCATGCAGGTGACAATGGAGCCTTGATTAAAATAAAAGGAAGGTATTTGTGGAAAAATACTGGAGGGAAAGAATATGCTAAATGCATTTGTTTCTGAAGCCATGGATAGATTTTGGTCACAACATCTGGAGTAAAAGGATATGGGAGAGTGGAAGAAAAATAAAATAAAATCTGAACTATAGTTGAGGAATGCATAGTACAGAACTTTATCAAAAATAATTGTGGCTTTAATTTGAGTGGCTTTAAATGTAGTATAGAAAATAAAAAAAATTGTATACTAGTGGAAATGATGAAGCTAATGATCCTGCAAAGAAAGTGATTCTAGTTTAGGACAGGGTGGTCACAGTGAACACTAAATTTGGAATGTGCATTAAGTTGATATGTTTGCTACAAGAATAGCATGAAAATTGGAAAATTAAGAGAAGACAATGTGGTTACTCCAAGTTTGAATCTGAACAATTGGAGAACAGCACATGTTGCTGGAGTGCTACATTGCCTTCTAATTCAGAAAATTTGTGAGCTAAGTAGATTCCATGCCATATATATATATATACACACTTTTCTTTAAAAAGTGTATCAAGTTGTCCAGCTTTGACCTCAGCATCTTCCTCATCTCCCTTTCTGATGTGCTAATGCACCTTGGTTGGTAGTGAAACCCTACTTAGATTAAGACCCTTAAAATTGTCCCATCTGCACATTTCCCATTTCAATTTCCCACTAAGGCATGTGACTTTTCCCTTCACAGACTCCTTTCAAGTGCACTGCCTCCTACTCATTTATAAAATCCCACATCCCATACAGGAACTACACTGACTGGGCTTCACTGAGACTCACATACTAACCGTGTTCCCACAGCTCTGGCTATCTTAAGGGCTTAGATTGCTAGTTTGTTAATGACCTAAGTCACAAAAAAGTGAGCAAGGATGGGGGTGGGCGGTTAAACCATCAGTGACAGAGAAAGAGTTAGCCCATTATAGTGCCAAATAAGTTTAAAATTGGACCTTTCACTACTGAGAAGACTCTAGAGTTGAATAATGTGATTACCTTGTATCATCTAAGATAAAAACAGAGAGGGGATTTGGAGCTATGACTCAGTAATCCAATTCCAATTATGGTCTCTGAAGGTATGCCTGCAAATGTGCAGATACATGTGGAAGCAAATCAACCATACACACAAATTTTTTTTTTTTAAAAAAGCAAATAAAAATTACCCAAAATAAAATAAGTCGCTGAATGTTTTCTAAAGCACAAAAAAATCATTTGATGCTGAATGGAAAAGAAAAATTACACAACTCAGAATTCCTTTCTGTGTATGATTTCTTCTGCAAGTGTCTTTTTCAATAAACAATTATAATAGGCACCTGGGACAAATGGCTTTCACACACAAAAAAAAACATTAACTCTTAATCTCGGCCTTCATGACTGAAAGCACAAGGATAGGTCAGTATCACCCTTCAGTTCTTCTGGATTCCAGAAAGAACAAAAATTTGAAGGATATACTGTCCTCCAGATGAGGGGAGTTGTACCTGAACAGAAGTGATCATCTCCAGCAATCCTGCTTGTTGCCTCATACGATAACAGTAAGGACCATCTTTGAGATCCTGCAGAAGGAGCTTAAACAACAATTGATATGACTTACCCTGACCATGGCAGCTTAATTATGCTCTTTTCCCAGTTCCTTTCTGTTGCAACCAAAACCTCACATTAGTACCCTAAAGGCAGACTTGAGTCACTGGACCCCTATATTCTTCCCAATATAGCCACATCAATTAAATCTCCTCTCTGTTTTCCATCATGACTCATTTCTTGCTTGACAAATTAAGACAGATGGCAGAGCTTAGCTACTGGGGCTTCCAGAGATGAGGGTTTCACCATAAAACTCTAGTTAGACTCCCCTTCCCAATACATTAGTTGCATATTAAGTCATTTACTCAAAACAGCAAAACATTAAGAAGCATTTAACTCCTGGGATGATAAAGCAAAGAATTACAATGTGCTTTTAGCTGGTACAAGACAGAGTTCCATCCTCAGGCATTCATGGTGATTTTGTCAGAACGGATGGTTCATTGATCAACAATGATCAACACAGACAGACAAGACAAGGTAGAACTTGGGTTTATTTACTGACTTGGCCATAACTTGAGTGAGAAATATTCTCAATATCTTTCCCTTTTATCCATAGCAATATACAGATATAGAAAAGAAAAACTAAATCCCAGGAAGTATACATATTAGATTCAGTTGTCAGGCAAGAACTAGGAGATAAGTCCCTCTTTGGGCACCAGGGATCCTGTGGTTGGCCTAGCCTCTGCCTGATGCATGGGATTTCCTGAAGAAACTCTAATCCATAGGTTATACATTACAGTGACACTGAGCTTTTTAGGAAATTGAATGCAGACATCTCAAAAACTTTCAAATTTACAATCTTGGCAGTGACACGGTAGTTGTTCATGGAATATGAATTCAGAACACATTACTGCTTGTTTTACACTCCGTGGATCAACTTACCACCATCTCAACAAAGCTGCAGCTGTTTGGGTTTTAAATATTCACATGCGGGTTTGGGGAGTAATAGTAGACACACTTAGGGAAGCATAAAATCATGTATATATAAACACAGATTGATAGGACCATTGTGATTGAGAGAACCTGCATCACTAAACCACTTCCAGCCGTTATTTAACTCTTTTCTGCCTAACTTTTTGTCCTAGCAATGTCGGTACATATAATTGGAATAAAACCTCCTCCCAAAACAGACTTCAGAAGATGAAAGGAGAAAGGGAACAAGTTTATTGCCAGTCAGGCCTTTGTGAGTCATGTCACATGAAGTCTAACGGCTTATGAGCCCAAAAGGAACCTCCTTTATGTAAGCAAGCAATAAAACCCATTAAGTATAAATTCTCCAGATAAACTGTACTCTTCAGGTAAGATACCTGACAGCACAATCTGTCACATACAGCTCATCCTAGTCCATTCTCAAGTTGCTTGGTAATTTGCTGACCATCTGTTAGCTAATTGGTTTTGTCCCAAAGAAAAGCAACTTCCTACTAAATTTATAACACATGGAGTTCTGCAACTAAGAGACAGCCATTTGCCAGTGCTGGGCTTCTGTCCCTGGAGAAAGGGGTTCTGTCTCCCCTGAGTACTGCATCCCCAAGAGACAGTTCCCAGTCTTAGAAATCCCTGTGCCAGAAATCTGCCAATCAATAGTCTTATTAAGCTTTTAAAAGACATAGGTACCTCAAAGAAACAGAGGAAAAATGTATTTCCAGCTAAATGACATAAACAAGTGATCTGAGTGTGAAAGGGTGTTTTATTTTCTGCTGAGACGGCACTTTAGTATGTGCTCTTACATAGCCCAATACACAGGTACTCAGTGCATCTTTGCTGTTGGCATGATTAGCAAGATGAGAAACTACCAACCTGATGGAAAGAAGATTACCAAAGTCATTACCTACTGAACATATGTAGAAAATCCATGCTATTGAAGGACAGCATGGATAGCTGATGTACAATGAGATGATGGAGAATAATATTTTCCTTTGTATGGATAACAGGAGTTTCTTACTTCCCTTTAATATGACCCTGTGCACACTGCTAATCTCACTAACTAGTCACCTGTGAAATAATCATGTGTTTTATATAATCTAAGTTGTTATCATTTATATGTGACACAACCTTAAGTATCATAAAAGGGAACTTTTTATTGCAATTGCATGATGGGGGAAGTCCTTGTGTGTACATGTCTCTCTTATTGGTTAATAAATAAATAAAGTGCTGTTGTCCAATAGATGTCTTATGATTATGGTTGATAATTAAGACTGAGCTAGCAGATAAGAAATCCTAGTCATTGGCCAACAGCATTGTACTTAATATAAGTCTCTGTGTATTATTTTGGCCACCCATGTGGTGGGCAGCACTTGGGAGGCTGGAGGAAAGATTTATCATTACAAAATGGTATCAGGACAGGAAAGAGGAGATGATGGGGGAAGTCCTTGTGTGTATATGTCTCTCTTATTGGTTAATGAATAAAGCACTGTTCACCAATGAGGCAGAAAGATAGGTAGGATTAGGAATCGAGGAGGACTCTGGGAAATGTAGTAAAAAGAAGTCTTTTGATCCAGGCAGGAAGTGACATAGCAGGCAGACTCAGAATATAAGCAGAGACAAAGAGGAAATCACTCTTCCTCTTCCTGCTACTCTCTACTCTGGAGGCACCATGTGATCCGGGCAAGACAAGACTAATACCTCCAGCCCATAATGAATTTTTAATAAGAGGTGTTATGTATAGAGTTCAGCTGAGTATCTCATACATAATAGATGTTCAACATGTTATCAGTTATTTTTGATAACAGCAAAAATTTTGATCTTCCTTATTACTACAATAATATATTAAGGAAGATACTAATATATTTAAGAACAGTAAGATTTTCACCAATAATCATCAGAGTACATGTCATGAGACAATTGTTTCATCCCTGAATTTTGTAAGATTCTTTCCTTCACCCCAGAAGTAAAGAGGCAACTAACATCTATTCCTTCCCCCACTTCCTTAACACAGGAGATTCTGGATACCTGCCTGAGAGCAATTAACATTCATTCCTCCCCCCACCTCCTTTTTCTCTGTTTCATCCTTTCTCTTTAAAAATCCCCTTGGTTTCAATAAAGTGGGCCTTGACAAGGAAATCTGCTTGGTCTCGCTTTTTCTTTCCCGCCCATTATTTTCAGGCAGATCCACCTTGGACTCAGGAATTACCGGAGCCCGGCCAGACGGGGCAAAGAAGGGGGTATCAGATCTTCTGGACTGTAGCTGCAGGTGATTCTGAGTGGCAGCACATGGGAACTGAACTTGGGTCATTTAGAAGAGCAGGAAATGCTCTCAGCTACTGAGGCATCTTCAGTCCCTTGTTTGAAATATGCCTTAAAGGGCAACCCCAAAGAGCAACAACTCAGTTACTTTATCATTAAAGAATATGCTCAGCAGATGTTCTCTACCTCAGAACATTTACAAATTCCTTGCTGTTGCCTCTTTGTGAGGCCTCTTTACTTCTGGGGTGAAGGAAAGAATCTTACAAAATTCAGGGATGAAACAATTGTCTCATGACATGTACTCTGATGATTATTGGTGAAAATCTTACTGTTAATGTGTGAAATGGCCCTGAAATGCACAGCCAATCGTGTTTCTATGCAGGTGGTCACTACCTCTAATCCTTACAATCTTTCCATACCTCTTTTACTATATAACACCTGAGCTTTTGAGGGAGGGGCTGTGATATAGACAACCCATTTAGAATTGACCACTCCATAATTTCTTATTCCCAATTGTGGGTCTCTATATTGACTGCTATCTACTGAAAAAAGAAATTTCTCCTTAAAGGTTGACTCTTTTTTTTTTTTTTTTTTTTTTTTTTTTTTTCGGAACGGGTTTTCTTTGTTGTGTTTTGGGGCCTATGGAACTCACTCTGGAGACCAGGCTGGCCTCGAACTCACAGAGATCCGCCTGCCTCTGCCTCCCGAGTGCTGGGATTAAAGGCGTGCACCATCAACACCCGGCAAATGATCATTCTGTTTCCACCCGGTTTTGAACCGGGGACCTCTCGAGTGTTAGGCGAGCATGATAACCACTACACTACAGAAACTACTTTTCCTTAAAGGTTGAGAGATGCATGAATCTATGGATATAAAAATTTTAGGGACAGTTTAATTCTATTGGCAGAATAATAGTATTAGGTTCTCCCTTAAGACCTTGGATCTATTTAGTCACAGGTTTTTGAGCCAGTTAATGGTTCCATGTGTGAGTTCCATCCATTTATCAGACTACAAACAAAAGCATGAAGTGGTTGATTATACCCATGATATTTTGTGCCACTATTGTACCCCTGGGCATATACTGCCAGGCTTGACATTAATTTAGCTGACAGTGTTCACAGCTAGATTATAAGATTACTGAGTATTTTTCTTTCCAACTATCATAATAGAACATTCCAGCACCTTTAAAACTACACAGTGTAGATGAGGTTTCCAAGCTGACATCAACTTGACTTTTCCATGTCACTATGACTCTAGTATGTGATATCTTCAGCAGTAAGAACTTATCACCAAATTTTCTGGGGAACCAATGACAATGACTATAGCCTACAATTTGAGGTAAATTGGTGACTTATTAAAGTCATTAATGCAAACCAAAATTAATGTGTATTGATTACTATCTGAGAGAAAGATCTTAACTAAATTTAATTATATTAACATTTTATTTTCATATATTCTGTAATACTAGAATCTGTTTAATTTATTACACAATCTTCCGTCTTAATTTTATCTCAGATACACTTACAACCTCCAATCCTCTTATCATTTTATTTTATTATTTCCTTTGATGTTATTTTTCAATTATCTCTCTTAGCATCTTACATCATTTTGTAGACTCAAAATTTTACTCTGGGTGCCCTTGAGAGTAAGATATTTTATAAAGAAGTTAAATCCCAAAGATATACAAAGCAAATCAGTATCATGACAAAGTGTACTTGCAGGGCAAGGGATTAGATGAGTCCACACAGAAAGGAAATACACATACACTTGGCCTTGAGGGAAGACTCACCATTTTAGTCAAATGAACAATTTAAACAGCTCTGAGAGATATAATCTGTAATCATCTCCACTAGTAGTTGAAACTTCCAGCCTGAAAACTGTAATTCAACTCTAAACTCTTCCTCTATAAACTCCTTGAATATGTAAAACTCTAGGAGCTACATTTGAAGTGTTTTCTTTAAATTGCTTCTCTGAAGTAGAAAATAGAATTGGAATAAAAAATGTTAAATCTTGAGCTAGCTGAAAGTAAAATAAATATTTCCCTCCAAATTTAGGTATAATAAACCCTTGAATAGTTTACAGAACCTTCTTTGAATCTTTTCAAAAATATGTAATAAGTCATATCTCACAAAAATATGTAATAAGTCATATTTCGGCAACGCTGGAGAAACAGGATGCAATCATTTATTTCTTTGGTCATTTCATATATTGAGCAATGTTTTATGGTAATTTAACTTTCAATAATGTAGTGGCATCTTGCCTTGCCAGTGAACTTGCAGTAGTGGCCACACCCTTTGGGCATGGTTTCAGGCAGATGTCACCCATTAAGGTAGAGGAGGAGCTGGCTTGTTCTCTCTTGGGTTCTGGAGAGCATCGGAGAGCAGGGACTGCATATTCTGGAGTAGTAAGACTGTGGTGGTTATTTATTCTTATCTGTGCAAGTCCTTCCATAATAAACTCCTATTTATCATTTATCTTGGGTCTGGTGAACTCATTTAAAACTCCACCTTCATAATAACACTTAACTAGTGTCAGAGAAACTCTAGATGTACGTGTCCAACACTGGTATTTTCAGATGCTTAGATAATTCCTGCTCTCAGTTACTATCTCAAGTGCTATACATGGAAATTAAAATAGTAATCCATGAAATCATATTTTAATAAGTAGATTAAAAATGTTATTTGAAAGAGTATCTCATCCTACTTTGTAATATCTAAACCTAAGGGTTTACTAACACCATTTTCCCTCTACCCCTAAGATGACATACTCACTGGTTCTAGGTAGTTGTTTCTTTGGATAAGTAATTCAATAGTGACAAGTTCCCTCAGAAGGAGAATGAATGTGCATGGGAGATGAATAGTGTATGTAAAACTTAAACTAGTCTAAACTGTAATTACAAGCCACTCCTCTGTGATAGTTGGAGACTTTGCCAGCATCACCTTAAGGTTTTCATACAAAGTTGAAGACGTTATCTTTTAGTGTCCTGCTTCAAAGTATATGTAGCAAGTGTTAGCTGTACAAGATGAACTTTTCCATTCTGGAATTAATGAAATGACCTAATTAAATTCCAGAATTCTGGTTGCACATAGGATTACAATCTATTACTGGAAAGGCAACAGAACTTTGAAGCTCTGAATGTAGATATGAACATGAAGTTCATTCTGGAAACAGATTCCTTCCAACTAGCTCCACTTTCATTTGTTGTAATTGCTGGCTGAAATCTGTCTGTTTCTTGCATTAACTTCCATGAATTGTTAAGCACAGAGTTAACTATAGTCCTTTAAGAATCAATAATGTGCTTGCCTATCTTCAATCAGATACATTCTTACTCAATGAGGAAAACTGTTATTCATCCAGGGATAACTACGGTGCAAACAAATGGCAGCAATAATTGGCATTGCCACCCATTAAGTTATCTGGAAGAATCCCTTTTTTTTTTCATATGGCAGATGTTTCTCTGAGTCAGCCTATATTTTTCATTCTTAATCACTTGACCAGTGCAATGAATCACTAAATCCCATCTAAAATCTTTAGTATCTTGACTTTCCCTCCACCCATAGCTAAAGCTTTCCGAACATCACTAGTCATTATCTGAACTCTTATAGCTGTCTTTATTGGTTGCCCATTTCTTCTTGTCTCATTTGAAACTGCCTAAATCTAACTTTTCCACATGACTCCATTGATTATATCTCTCCATTTCTGTATCATAGCAAGAATCAAGTTCAAATCTCTCCGCATGTCATAAAGATCCAATTATCACCTGGACTCGGTCTGTCTTCCAACATCATCTTTCTCATAAAAGATGCATCTTTTACCTTTTGCCAAAATATATGAGGTCATTACCACTCAAAACATTTCTATTTCTTCCACTATCTTTATCCTGAAAATTTCTCTTTCATAATATCCTCTCTTGCAAGCATATTCACCCTAGTTAAAAAAAAATATTCTTCATTGTTATTCCCTGAGTCATGTCAGAGGTACTTTGCTGTAGGAAATCCTTCCAGATAGCTGTTAAAGAAATATCTAGTAAGAATGTCTCACTTTTGCCACAAATACAATAGTTTATCTGTGGTACAATTGACCTAGAAAGTAGTTGAATAGAAAGCAAACAGGATGAACTCACAGAGACTGTGCACAGGACCTGCCCAGAGTCAATCCATATGAGGTGCCAGCAATAAGGGGGGGATATGGACACAGGTCCCATCCCTAAACAAGAAGCTATTTGCCGGTGATACCTGAGAGCAAAGGGAATGTCAAATGGAGTGTCATAGTGTATATCAACCACACTCCAGGGCAGGTCCCATACCCAAGAATAGCTGGCCAATAAAAAATAGACTCCATGTTTTGCTTTACTTTGGGGGGGGGGAGTGGGTGTGTGCGTGTGTGTTTTATTTTGTTGTGAGGTTTTTGTTTTATTGTTTATGTTTGTTTGAATTTTTGCTGTTTTTTTAAAGAGAGGCAGAGCATGAAGTTGGTTGTACCGGTAGGGAGGTGGAAAGTATCTGGGAGGAACTGGGGGAGGGGGAACACATTATCAAAATATATTAAAATAAGAATAAAAGAACCAACAACCTTATTGGGAGGAGGCAGTTGGAGGAGAGGGAGTGAATGTGATTAAAACACACTACATGGAATTTTCAAAGAAATAACAAAAGAGAAGAACCAAAGAAAAGCAAGTAAATAGGAATAATACTCCTTTGTAAGATGAGAAGACTAGAATTCATAAAGGAAAATAAAATTCATAGAGATGAAGACACACTTAACCAGGGCACAGGCTTTAAGTATATACTCTTAGAATGTGCATCCAACACATCCATGTGCTTTACTATCTCTCCTTGCCTCTCTGATTTTTATCTCAGCATATATGAGTCTTGTAGTGCCACAGTTTATGAATTATCCTCTACTAGATGGTGAAGCCTTCAGAGTTGGGACGACGCCTGTTTTATTCTCCTTATATTGGCAGCATCCAGTGTTATCCTGTTATATATGAGATATTTGAATCCATGAGAAATGGACAAATAATTATTCAACTGTTTTTTAACATTTTTATTCTTGGTTGTCCAGTACTAATACCACCTAGAACATACACTTAAGAATAGACTAATCATGAGCTTCTAATAGGCCAGCTAATAATAATAACTGTTCGATGTTCTTTAAGATAGTTTGGTGTTGGAAAAATCTAATCCTAGATTAGACTGTTTTTCTTTTTAATTTTCAACAGGGGAGACTGGGAAGCCAAAGGGCATGGGAGAAGCACTAAAGACCCAGACCACCTTCTATGCTGATCTTTTATTAGGAGCAACTACACACTATACAATCACCAGTCCATGTTTACGAGGACTAGAATGTTATTCTTAGCAGATCACCAAGGAGAAAGCAGATAAGAAAATACATGGGAAACGAATAGGATTGAGATGCATGATATGAAAGATAGAAAGAGTAAATGAAAAGGAAGTTAAGAGAAAGAAAAATATATGGGAACACAACAAGCTTTGCATCTTAAGAAATGGCACATTCCAGCTTCCTTGAGGTGGAAATGTCTGTTGCACAGATCATGGCCTCTGTCCTTAGTGTGCCAAGTCTTAGATGCACAGTGTGCTTCTTTCTTTTGAAAGGCTATTGGAGACACTAACCCAATTGGACCTGTCAATCTTCTATGTGGAGGAACACCCCTCAGGAAGCTGTACTTGAGGACGTGAGAATAGTGACTTTACTGAGATAACATACTTGCACTGCCCAGGATCATCTATCTCCCTCTGTGCAGTTGCTTGCAGAGCTTCCTTTACCGATTTGACAGCTTTTCTGAGTTCTAACTCAAAAAAGCATAGCT